TTTAATAGCTTGGACAATAAAGTGTGGGTTAGAGATATGTAATGGAAAAAGCAGATAATTAAATCTTCTCAGCATAGCGCTTAAACTTATGGTGTCCTTACTGACATGCACACTGAACAACGTAGGCTGAAGGAACCTAAAATCTGTGTTCTTTACATATTTCAGTGCTGACAAGCATTTCTGCTGAGTAATATAAGCAATTCAGCTGTTCAGAATTGTTTGATATGTTCCTATTTTGAAAATATATATAAAAACAAAAACAAAAATAAAAAACAACCTAGTTTTAGCTTTTGTTTTTTCCTTCAGGATGGGAAATGGACCAGCATGCAAAAATAGGATAACTTCTATACATGTTCCCAAATCAGCTTTAAAACATTGAAGATAAATTGATATATACATTATTGGGACTAAAGCCCCATGGAACATCTGTTTGCATTTCTGAATTCTACTCATATTAAAAGTAACTCCCAAGGAACACTGAGGTCTTTATCCATACTTAGAACAACTGGTACGTAACAATATGCGCTTAAGTACCACTCATTTCTTGTTAAAGACACAATTAAGGGCTGCTTTGATCATGGGGCTACTACATGGGCATTAGACTCCTACTATAAAGCACTTCAGATTAAAAAAAATTGTCTGTGGAGAATACAGGCCACGTAAGTCTGTGGAACTTGAATATTCCTCTATTTGAATAAAGCAGAGTGTGTGTGTGATTCCAGAATGACTTTGGATTATGCACAGCTAATTGAAATTCTGTAAGAAGTTTATTCTAGCAAACTCAATGGAGTCGTAAAGAGTTTGGGGGAAGAGGTATTTCATCCACTGACCCAGTCACAGAATAGTTGAAATTTAGTTGAAATTCTTACTACATAAATCTTTTTTTTTTTTTTTTCTTAATGAGTAATTTTAAATGAAGTCATTCTGGAAGCAGGTAGGGAAAGAAAAAAAAAAAAAAGAAGAACTTTTATTGCAAATTGTACCCATTTATTTTTTTTTCAAATGTTTCAAAAGTTGGTCTGAAGAGGGAAAACATTTGGTAGTTTTCTGGCTTTCTAATATTGTGTTAATTAAAACGCTTCCTAGCAGATTTCAGACAAGGTCAGCTTGACATGCTGAATTCTGTGTAGAAACTGTTCCAAAAGAAGCATTTTTGCCACAGATTGGGAATTACTAAAACTACTTTAGTCATAAAACAACTAGTTTTCAAACTGAAGTACATTGAGCTTAGTTTGGGACAGTTATGTTGGCCCCACACAGAAGAACCATAAAGATGGACAAATAGTTCTAGTCCCAAACCAGAACAATTATAATTCATAAACTCTACTGGTATCAAGTCCTACCTGGAGTGAAATGTTTGAGTGTTTGTAGCTAGCATACATGTGTAACAGCTTTAATGTTGGAGAATAAAATCCACTCTAACATGGATACACTAGAAAAAGGCCTAGCCTTACATCCCTGGTTTAGACCAGGTTGTAGAACATGCTGAACCTGATCAGAGAATGCCAGGGAAAGCATTCTTTCTCTTTGTGAAAACTTTCAGGGTACTGCACACCAACAAGGAGTGAAAAAATGTTTGAAAACTAGAATTACACTGGATGCGAAAATACTTTATCATTGCTGTAGTTGAAATAGATTGTTCTCTGCAGTGATAGGGAACATTTTGATGGTAGACTAGTACAGACACAGTTGAGAAAATGTTCTGCTTGTCACAGGCCATCAGCAATGATCCTTCCTCTGGCTGACAGCAATGATATGCACAGACCACTTCCCTCACCCTTTGTGGTAATTGAATTAGATTGCTTGAAATGAAATCATGTGCTGTTTCGCCAGCTGTTTCACCTAGCACCCAAACATTCTCAGTTCCAAGAAGGAAAGGTTCAAACCTGGGAAGCTATCATTACCCTTTGGTAATGATGCCACCTTTTCTTCTTCTGTCTCATAATCTGAGTGTACTGGCTTTAAGAGACACATAAATTTGCTCCACATATTACTTCTATCGGTGGGATTTTTTATATTGTCTTTAATGTCTATAGACCAAGTCCTTGTAGAACTCTGGAAAGATAACCTTATTGCTTTATAAAACATTATTCATTTGGTGATGAAAAGATCGGGCATATAATTGGGAAATTACAGGAAAAATTCCAATACTGTCTTAAAATCTTTACCTTACTGATACTTTGCTAGCTCCAAAATAATGCCTATATTGCCTTGTAGCATCTCATATATTTGCTTTAGGTTTTGAAATCACCAGTGTATTCTTTTGGGCACTCCTGGATATCTGCTTGCATTTGAAAGAAAGAGTTCTTAACACTGATTAAGGCATGATTTATGATCTGAAAAGCTTGAGCATCCTTTGGTGTAAAGGAAAACTTTATAAAATCTGCCTTCCAAAGCTGTAGCTCCAGTCCTGAAAATTTAATAGTTATATTACTCATGTTTATTCAATTTAACCCTAAATAGAAGCACTGAAAACAATGCCATAGGCTACAGGGTGGCATTGCTTTGGGGTGGCAGTGAAATAACTTGTGGATATTTAGAAGTGCTCAACAGAGCATAAATTACAACAAGGATTGGAAGACAGGAAAAACTCAGATGCCTACAAATAACTGAATGTTTCCCTAGGGCATAAACATTAATGACTTTAATTAGATTATAATTGCTCATGGAAGCATAGCTTGCACAAGATAAAAATACCTGACATTGAATTTGCTACTAGGCAACTACATCAGAAGCACAAGTAGGTTTAATGTTAAATACAAGTTATTTATTAAATATAAGGTATCTGATATAAACAGTGCATAGTCTGTTCTCGGGATATACAAATGTATTTGTAAGATGGCAGCAGTGCTTTATAATTTCTAGATCTGATACTGAGTTGCAGTGTTGGAGCTGAAGGGTTGAATTAACAGAAAGGATGACAGAATGAATGTTTACATTTAAGTAAATATGTGCAATTAATTGAAAGTATTTGGATCCCTGTGTGTTCTTCTGTTTTCATCTTTAGAGTTCTGAAAAGACACCTCAGCAAGGATATTTTGAATGCCCTATCCTTGTGTTGAGTGAGACTCTCAAGTCCCCAATACAGAGGATCTAGATATTCAAACAATATTTATAGCTCCACAAATTAAAAGCCAAATTTAGATTCACTAATTGCATTTCAGCTAAACCAGTCATGTCACATTCCAGGAAATTTGATACATAGGGTTATCAGGCATGGGTGCTACTTGGACATATGATGAATATGTCCTTAAGAAACTACTGTTGGGAGCCATATGCTGCTGGGTGATGGACCACGGCAGCAGAGTGCAACCTGTTCTGGAAGCTGTTTGGTTGCCATCCTATAAAGGTCATACTGGGAAAGTATGAGGTGAATTAAAAAAAGTGAATCTGTTCTCAGTAGGAGAACTGGCAATCCAGCTAATTAAATGGACAAAGTAATCCCTAAGTGAGAAATTTTAACCCTTAGCAAGAGTTTTGCTGAAACATTGCCACAAGGAATCTTTGTTCTCTGCTGCACAGTGGCGCAACCACACCAAGAGTGCAGAATATCTCCTTTCCCCTTGAGTAACCCGTAGGCAAGTGACTACATTTCCTGGCAATGCGAGTCTTAATCCCCTAAGGTAAAAGAAAACTGCATCCCACTCTCCTCCTCCCTGAAAGAAAAATAAGGCCATAATAAAACCACTTAAACTGAAAAGAGGCAGCTGCTATGTGTTGATGCAACATCCTGTGCAGTAAGACCTCTCAGTGAATCTCTGCTAAAGCAAGTCACACAGGGAAGATATATGCCAAGTTTCCTACCCCAAGTTTCTCATGTAACAGACTGATCTGCTCAGCAATGTTTGCTCTGCTAAAGATAGAAGCATTCACTACTATTAGTATCTGTTCACACTATTAACAAGATGATTTTGTGTGTGTGTGTATATGTTGACTTTCACGGGAAGTAGTTACTTGTCAGGATGACATTAAATTAGGCAAAAATGTAAAAACCGTTAAAAATATATCATTTAGTTTTATTGGCTATAAGAGCGTTCAGGGAAAAAAAAAGTAAAAATGTATATAATGTCATAAAAAAACTAATATTGTACCTGATTTTAAATTGTCTGAAACATAGTCTGAGGCAGCACATATATATACACATTGAGAAATGTTTCATGATTGACTAACAATTAGCTCTGTATCATACAGACTGAGATCATGACCAAGTTCAACTATAACATGAATGGTTACAAAAGCATTTGGATACTGTTATGCAGAGACAACCTATGCTGTGGTCAGATTCAATAGATCTGTGAGCAGACCTATATGGAAAGCTCAGCTAACACTGCTTGTAATGTAAATATAGAGCTGTTGAACACTTGAATATTTAATGCAGTTGAGCACATGCAACTCAGATAAACAAAGGAAACATAAAAGAATAAATGTAGGTGATAATGCACCATTGGACATACAGATCCCATGATGCTCATTCTACAGAGACTTATTTGTGTTATTACTTATGCTAAAATATTATTGCAGAGGTTGTGAGTCTTCTTTTCACATTTTAATCTTCAACTTTAAAAGCAACAAGATCATTTCTCTATCAAGATCATTAACTTTCATATCTTTGCTTTCTGGATTAGGTTAGTGGCATTGACCACCTGGTCTCAAGAGTAGCTGCAGGTGTTTTCAAGTAGGACAAACACTGCTACAATTAATTTACTTCTGCAAGTCTTTGACCTTGCTGGTATGGCAAATAAAGTGTTTCAAGCAATTCTAAGAACGTTAATTAGAGTTAATGAGAACAGTATTGACTACTACTACCCAGATGCTTTATCTTTCTAACGTAAAGCTGTAGCTTGCTAGTGATAATGTGAAAAATAGGTCAGATGAAAATGCTAGAGGCCAAATCCAGAGATATATGTTTCATTTTTATAAAATTCTTGCTCCATTTGCTCCTTGATCCTAGATGGATCAAGCTTTCATCAGAGAGATTGGTTAAGAAACTGGGAGAGAAAAATGACCTTTAGCTCTATACTCTCCATTGATTTGTATTTTATGTAGCGGTATTTCCTTGAAAGAGCGTTGGTTTTCTAACCTCCTATTATATACTCCACCATACGTATTTTCATGTGCTTCATCTAATTATTTTTTAACGTACTTTTATTTTTATACTTTGGCTGCTTTAACACAATACCAGCCATAACTCTTGACTTTACCTCCAGCCTTTGAACAAAGTACATCCAGGAGGACAGGACGGGCACTATCACACACTGAACAATCCACTTATGCGATAAGTCATTTTCCCTTCCTTGCAGTTATCTTCAAAGATAAAAGGTCTCAAAGCAAGACTTTTCTTCCATTTGTTTCTATGGAGTCCCAGGGAAACTTTGGCTCCTGCATTGTATAAGCAAATGTCAACTTACTGTGAAAGGGAGGGGGGTTGAAAGCTGCTTTCTCCTCCTTCCTCCCTAATCAGTGACTCCTGAGCTTGGTGTACCCTGACTGGTAGGTAGGTCGGTTCTTTTGTGTGAACGTCTAGACCTTCTTCCTCTCTCCCTGTGAAGATGGGGCCTATAACCATCCCTGATATGTCGTAAGTAAAGTCATTTTTCTGTTTTGGCCACTGTATTATTTCTGTATATTGTATGCAAGCTGACAATTTAAACAACAGGAAAAAAAAAAAGCAGTACTTTGAGATTCACACAGTGCAGGAAAATGAGTGTAAGTACTGTATGTCTTGAATAACAGAGCTCATACTAGAAGAAGAACCATATTTTGGGGGAAACCTTGCTTCATTAATGTTGTGTCAGTGTTATTTATTGTATTTTTTTAAAGAAAAATATTTAAAAATATGATGCAACCACACTTTAATTGTATGCTGAAACAGACTTCACCAAGGAAGCATTACTGGTAATTGATTAGTTCTAAACTCAAGCACTGTTAACTCTCTCCTTATTTCAGGAAAAATTTAGACAAATGTGTGACTTTAAATGCTCATAAGTTTACAATTACTGAACCATTTTTCATTAGCCATGAATAATTTTTCCTTCCTCTAAGAGGATTTATAAAACAACCTGGACCGATGTGTGGAGAATTAACCATTTTTAAGATTTTCATGCTTGAAAATTTCAATCAGGACATATGGTGAAAGTGCAGTTTATTTTTCATGCTAGTTTAACTCAAGTGACTGCATTGGTATTACTCATGCTTTCCAAAATAATTCAGCACTGGGCTGAAAACAATCACAGACATTTTTGGCTTGATAGATTTTTCTGTGAAAGTTAGGAGGCACCGAAGAAGGGGAGGGTTGACCAAAGGTTGGAATTTCTCTTTACTGACAGTGGTCACTACCAGCTGGATCCCAACAAAGCTCACGCTCCACACTCAAGTGAGCAATAATGGAGAATTCCAGTAGAAAATTAATAGACTGACAAATACTTTTTTTTTTTTTTTTTTTTAATGCCTGATGAACTGTAATTGCATAAGAAGGCCAAATGCTAATGGTAGAACTTAGCCTAACAAAAAAGATTTATGACATGACCAGAGGATTATTATTTGACTATCTTCTCAAAGCAACAATTATTATTTGAAAAAAAAAGCCTCTGACAATCCCTACCAAATAAAGGTAACAATGATGAAAAAGTAACCACTGCCCATGCCCTCTTCTGCTTTTTGTTCCAGTGTAGTAAGCTACAAATAGAAAATTGCAACCAATAAAAGTCAAGCAAGTAAAACATTAGGAGATTCATTTCTGGATAGAATTCAGTCATGCAATTCTACCCTGAAACAGTACATAACCCAATACATCAATAACTCATATTTAAAGAAAGGAATATTCTTGGCCTATCTATGTTTAATGTCTGCTCTTGTTCTGTCCTTTATATAGTTTGACAGAGGTGTGATGGTTTTCCTGTTGGATAAGTTAGCCAAGTCAGATTTTGGCATGTTCTGTGGAAAGTTTGTTATACAAAAAGAAACTAGGGATATGTCAGCAGATCCCAGAAATAGCCAGAATGCAACAGTCCATCACAGTGGTGTGCAGACAGAACAGTACTGATCTTAAAGGCAGTGTTAGTGCTAGCTCAAGAGTTCCCATCATTGTGGGCTAAATTTAATTCTGTCACCTGAAGGCTGAGAGGAAATGGCGAAGTTGCTGTCACTACAGAAAGGCTGGCTAGAGGAGGGTAAAATAGAGGAACAGCCAGACTCATCTAACTTACTAGCCCAACCAATAGTCCACATGTCCCAATATTTCCCTCAGAAAAAGTTATTAGCTTGGTTTTCCAGATGCCTGACATAAAAAAGTAAGCATAGTATTACACCTGTTCTGCAACTCTGCCTACTTTGCCAAGAATCAGAGTTTGTCTTGAGGCAGCACGGGTATGTTAGCTGAATTCCTGGGCTAATGAGCAGTGTTTCTCAGCAGGGCTAATTGCCTCAGCAGCAATACAATCTTGATGCAGTTATATAGTTTGTGGTCAGTTGTTGCCAAGACAGTGATTTCTGCATCTCAGTAAACCTTGTATTGTAGTTCAATTAAAAAATGACTGGAGATAAAACTTGTGAGTTTAGATACTACATAGAAAAATAAAAAAAATAAAGGAAAAAGAATGATAAGTGCTAACATTAATATAAAGGCACATGAATAAAATCTGCCCGGAAAGAAAAGTAGGGATGAAGCTTATAAGTGCCTATGACAGTGAGGCAAGCACAACTCTATAGGGACCTTGAAGTGGAACTCTCAAGGTTACAAAAGAAATTGTATGATACTATCTATGAGCCTAAGCATCTAGACTTTAAGGATCCCTTCCAGAAAACCTCCCTAACTTTGTACCTCCATTTGTAATATTTCTCTAAATATAGGTAAGGCAAGCAGTTGCAACTCAGACTTTTTTGCTGTTGTTGCTTGCCAACTCTTAATGCTTCTTTCTTTCTCTAGCTGATAAGTGTTCAGAGTTGTACTTAATTCATTCGTATCTTCTTTAAGAGCAGTTAATTCAGTTTCATAACTTCTGCTTGTTTGTTTAGGAAATAAAGCAACCCTCTTGTTATTTTGTGCTAAAGAAAAATCTCGCTGAATTTCAGTTAATGAACTGATTCATTGAAAACTGTTCACCATTCACTGAAACAAAATTATCACTGGAAAAGATATGGCCAGTTCTAAGAAACCACCTTGGACACTGAATGAAGTGGAAGCTCTCTTTTCTGAAGAATTCTGGATTCAGCCCTTAGATACATCATTGTTATGGGATAGAAAAATTAGAGGAAACTGAAAAATGAGCAATATAGATAAAGTACATTGTTCTTCTGGGGTTATGAATTGTTCTTCTATATCCTGTCTTTTTCTTTGCTAATCCACCATAAATGTGCAAAGCTGTATGAAGCACCCTTTTTTCCTTTTCTGAGAACAGTGAAGCCTGCTTGAATTAATAAATGAATCAAAGGTAAATGAACTCTGAAGATGAATAATGAGTAAAATCTCTGTATAGCAAACCTTTTTACATGCCTATCAAGAGGACCAGCAAACTTTAAATGAATTATGTTTAAATGAATACAATGTATCAAAGAAATCTTAAAATCTACTTTATTCCTTAAAACATTTTAGTGTCTCATTAATGCACTTCAGATTAGCTAGGTTGTTAAGTGTCCATCACTAAATAATGACAGAGTGCAAGAAAGTGCCTTCTCTTTCTGTAAGTGTCACCTGAATGTAGTTAGAAACTCACATGTTGTTAAGATTATATTGGTAAGATATAAATCGTGCTTTTATTAAATGCTATTAATTTTTATTCTTCTGAGCCCTATAAATTGCTTATCTGGTTAATATGACTCAGATTAGATGTCCACAACATTGTTTATGTATTTCCCTCTCTGGTCTGAAAGAAAATCTGGCATTTTCAGAAACATTTTTAAAACATGATTTGTTCATGTTTTGCACACAGTAATCAGACATGCAAGTTTTGGTTGGCTTCCAAACACCACAGCAAGCTGAGTGTTTTGATCTTGTCTATGCAAACAGGATCAAAACAAGTTAAAGTTATGCTGCCACATGGACTGCTACATTAACAACACTTTCTTCTGAGCCAATGAAATAGCCTGTTGGGTTAGGCTCACAAACTCTGCCTGAACTACCAACAAGTGGTTTGTTCCAACTCACAGTAAGAGTGCAATTGAATCAGTGCATAGCATGTTTTATTTTCAAGGTTGCTGGCCAGGAGTTTTTGGCAACATATTTGAAACTGGAGCTTAAGTTTGAAATTCCAGCTGAATCACATGCTTGAAGAACTAGGCAGATTTTAGTGTTTGTAGAATTCATCACCTCACAGAAAGAAAGTTGTATGATGACTTGTAACTTAAAATAATTTCTGCACTGTGTAAATTGTGTTTTAATTGGTGTAAACAAGATATTTCAATACAGAATTAAATGCTGATAATTTTTGTGAGGTTGAGATGTACTCAGGTGATTCCTAAACATCATTCTGTTCTGTCTGGTCACTTCTTTCTTAAGTACCCTGTATATTTATTTATTTATTTTTATCAGGGAATGGCTCTTTCAGCTCCACTGACAACAGCTGGGCATTTCAGAATCTGCATGTAGTTTTTTTTTTTTTTTTTTTTTTTTTTTCATGATATTTGTTAGTAATTCTGCACTTCTCTATGCTTCTACTTATAGTCCTTCAATTTCAAGAGTCTTATGCTCTTTTAGTTATGGTAGATACTTGTTTTAGATAGCTGATTGACTAGCTAGGTAGTTTATTTTTTTAATGCAAGCTTTTCTTCAATTAGTTTTTACCAGTATTAGTAGTCCATAACTTCACAAAGTGATTCTGGGATCACACTACTTGCCATTGTAGGAAACAGAACTTAAATTAGAGGTAGTGTGTTAATGATTGTGGGCAGAATGTTGTCCAAGAAGGTGACAAATAGGTGATTTCATATTGGTATGGGTGGGTTTGAGCTAATCTTGAATGTGAGTAGAAACATACCTAAAGAGAACGGGGCGGGTGGGAGGGGGGGACAGGGGAACGGGGGGGGACAAGAAACAAGGGGTTGGCTAGTCTCTGATGCTTGGTTACTCTGCTTACAAAATCAGATTCTGAAAATTATTTTACAATTCTCTTCTGTTAAATGATCTTTCCTCTTCTTATGCCTGATGATTTGCAACAATATCCATTTTAATTGACTTGATGAAATATTTAGTATTAATTATACTGAGCTGTGAGGCTTTTGATCTTTGCTGTGTTCCCACTCTGTTTCACTGTTATGAGGACCATGGCTCTGATGGGTGGGTGGACAACCAGCCAAACAAAAAACCTACAGTAGCACTTTATAGTAAAAGTATCCAGATTTAAATCTTTGGTGAAGAGGATCGAAGGGAGCATCTTCTGCTCCCTGGCCATAGTATGGAGTACGAAAGCAACATTTAGAGGCTGCTTGGTTCTCCTAGCTGCTTCCATCCTCTGCAGACAAATTGCTGTCAGACACCGTCTTGAGATGAAGGTGTTCCTTGATGTGACAGCAGAAACTTTTTTCTTTTTTGATGCTTTTTCCCTCCCCCAGTTATGCCAGGACTATATTCATGTTTATAGACAA